TACTAATCATAACCATTACTGATTACCAATCGATTATATAATTACAATACCCCCCCTCTGCCTCAAATCACTGCACCTGAATGAGTTAAATCATGACGTCACCCTGCTGTTCTATTTAAGACCGGGAGCAAGTGAGGGCTTTACCATTCTGGCGAATTGCCCGATGATGCTGGATGTAATTACCAGCGAAACGTCGTACTCATTTTAAATTATGTTGATTCACACTTCAACACACCGGTGGGCTAAAGTAGTGAACTATTTGTCCTTTGTAAACGTGACACAATTTTTACTGTTTGGCTGTGTCGGATGGTGGAAGGTTACGACACATTTATAAATAACGCGATCTAACCCAAAAACCTTTATTATGATTTATTACCATGTCTGTTTACTCGTTATAAATTGCCTTTTTTAGGTTAGATTTAATGACAGGGATTAACCAATGTTTTATGACAGTTATCCTAAGTAACACGATTTTTCTAACCCGACTACTAAGTGCTACTATTAAATTGTTATATACAAAATGCCTATTATTCCCCACTATCTTTGCTTTAGCGACCACGTCTTTACGTGACTGCATGACGCTTATGCACACGTTTTCTCTTTGAAAATAGGTACATTTCTAAATATCACTGTCCTGCTCACAAAAAAACAGGTTCGAGGGGAAGAAGAGCCTTATTGTGTACTCTTGAGGCATAACCAGCCAAGTAATATCACTTGCTGCGCAGGAGCAAACCAATAAATATACTCATTGCTATTCCGTCTTCATTCTATCATATTTACACTTGCCCCCTCAGTACGGGGATTGAGCAGTGACGTTACGTCAATGACGCTTGATTGGTGCGCATCTGCTCATAGTTACAGGGTAGGTTCAAGTCATTTTGTATTAGTTGCCTTTCATTTATTTGCTGCCCTTGCGGCAAATGTTTGCACCAAAATGGCAGAACACCCTCGTACTCACTCCTAATTACTTACTCAATATTCATGCGTGCATTTCCCTTCTCCGTTGCTTCTTTCGCTCAAGTCACGTACATTATTTACAAACTTATTTAGTCTATATTAAAGTTACAGCGTGCGTGTGAGTCCATATATGTGTGTGCGTTGTGTCTGTGCGAGTCCGTGTGTGTGTGCGTCAATGTTGTGTGTGTGACAGTCGCTGTGTTTGTTTCTGTATGTCCATGTGTGTGTGTGTGTGGTGTCTGTTTAAGTCAATGTGTGTGTATCAGTCGATGTGTGTGTGTGTGTAAGTCCATAGGTGTGTGCATAGTTCCATGTGTGTGTGAGTCTATGTATGTATGTGTTTAAGTCGATGTGTTTGTGTGTGTTAGTCAATGTGTGTGTGTGTGGGTCCATATGTGTCAGTTGACGTGTGTGTACGTCGAAATGTGTGTCTGCGTGAGTCCATGTGCGTTTGTAAGTCGACGTGTGTGTGTGTAAATCGACGTGTTTGTGTGGGTCCATGTGTGTCAGTCCATGTGTGTGTTTGTGTAAGTCCATATGTGTGTGGAGGTCGATGTGTGTGTGACTCTATGTATGTGTGTGTTTAAGTCCGTGTGTGTGTAAGTCGATGTTTGTGTGTGTACATCAAGGTGTGTGTGTGTGGGTCAATGTATGTGTGTGTGTAAGTTGATGTGTGTGTGTGTGCAAGTCGATGCGTGTGTGTAAGTCGATGTGTATGTGTGAGTCCATGTGCGTGTATGTACGTCCATATATGTGTGTGTGTTAGTCCATATGTGTGTGTGCGTGTCCATATGTGTGTGTAGTTCCATGTGTGTGAGAGTTTCTGTGTGTCTGTACGTCGATATGTGCGTGTGTCAATGGATGTGTGTATGTGTGTGTGCAAGTCGATGTATGTGTGTATGGGTCGATGTCTGTGTGTGTGTGTGTGAGTCCGTGTGTGTGTGTGAGTCCGTGTGTGTGTGCGTCGATGTTTGTGTGTGTACATCAATGTGTGTGTGTCGCTGTGTGTGTAAGTTGGTGTGTGTAAGTTGGTGTGCGTGTGTGCAAGTCGATGTGTATGTGTGTGAGTTGATGTGTGTGTGTGTGTGTAAGTCGGTGTGTAAGTCCATGTGCGTGTGAATCAATTTGTGTAAGTCGATGTGTGTGTGTGCATTTGTGTGTACGTCCATGTGTGTGTGCGTGTCCATATGTGCATGTAGTTCCGTGTGTGTGTGAGTCTATGTGTGTGTGTGAGTCTATGTGTGTGTGTGCGCGCATCGATATGTGAGTGTGTAAGTCAATGTGTGTGCGAGTCGATAAGTCAATGTGGCTGTGTACGTCTAAGTGTGTGTGTGTGTGTAAGTCGGTGTGTGAGTCAATATGTGTGTGTGTTAGTCGATATGTCTGCGTGTGTAAGTCCATATGTGTGTGTGTAGGTCGATGTGTGTGTGAGTCTGTGTATGTGTGTGCGAGTTGATGTGTGTGTGTGTAAGTCGTAGGGAGCGGTAGTGTAGCGGTTAGCGCGCTGCGCGATGAACCTGGCGACCCGGGTTCGATTCCCGCTCATGGCCAACACCAGTGACGATTATCTGAACCGGTCTCGGGCCTCCCCTAGGTCGACTCAGCCTCAAATGAGTACCTGGTGCAATGTGTAAACATCGTCACTATGGAGACAAAGGCGGCCGGGCGTGGTGTTGCCCACCCACCCCCTTGTGTGCCGTGCCGGCCTTCATCGATGCTCGCTAACAGCACTTGCCCCTACAGTCTGTTAAGGCTAAATGGGGGATCTTTGTCTGTAAATGGATGTGTATGTGTGGGTCCATGTGTGTGTGTCTTAGTCGATATGTGTGTGTGTAGGTCAATGTGTGTGTGTGTAGGTCGATGTGTGTATAACTCCATGTGTTTGTGTGTGTAAGTAGATGTCTGTGTGTTTGAGTCCATATGTGCGTGTCTGTGGGTCGATGTCTGTGTGTGTGTAAGTCGATGTGTGTGTATCTGTTTCGCCCGGGCAACGCCGGGTACTTCCCGCTAGTTTCACCATAAACAGGAGCCCCAAGCTCGAGTGAAGTCCCTTATCCAGTCTCTTGGCCTTATCTCATTGCCCTAGCCATGGCACTGAGCAATATCAGCTCGGGTTGTGTTTATTCAGTAAGCTGAGTGTCTGATAATTAGATGTGTAACTGAGTAATGATTACATTGAGTGTATGGTGCTTTCTTGTTGCGCCTGACACAGAGTTACAAAAATCTCTTCTTGAATTGCGGCACCAAATTATGGAACTTCATCAAACCGTGGAGGCAAATACCTACTTTAATCACCCAGGAATGTCTGTCCTTAACGCTCGTGATGTCACTCCACATCGATCAGCCCTCCTCATTAATAATCATGATAAGGTGACGTCCTCCAAATGGACACCTCCTCCATTCATAATAATTAGTGGGTGACGTCACTCCACATGGGGGGCCGATTTGCCTCCTCCCCCCTCCTCGGCGGCAACTTACAACCCTCACTACAAAGGCAGAACTCTCACGTCACGCGAACTCCGTAACGCTGTTGAGACATCAAAGTAAAAAGGACGTCATTATGAACAAGGGATTATAACCTTAAAATTAAATAGGTCTGTGTCACCGCGGCCTTACAAATTGCACACGCATTAATGCAAAAATATCACGTCGCGGTCTGCTTTTCGCTTACAAGTTTCAGATTTACTGCGATACACCCGTCCTTGGACGGACAAAAGGCTAGTTGCTATATGTCTGTAGTGTTCGACTTTACGCGGACAACTTCTGTCTTTCTTCGAACACCGTTTTATTTACAACATTCAGCATGTCCTCCACACTCCACAGTATCCTGGTCACCACGGCTCGCTCACCGTGCTCCGCTCGTCTCGCTCACTACCTTTGTCTCCCCACTATCACTTCACTTGCTTCGCACTCAGCGACTCCCCGTTCAGCAACTCCGCACACAGCGTCTTCAGCTCCGCTATCGCTACACTCTCTCCACTGCTGGCTATTCTCCTCAGCTCCACCGCACACAGCGTCTTCGCACACAGCGACTGTTCGGAATCACAGTACCCTGGTGTCTACAAACTAAGTTGCCTCTGTGGTAGTAGTTACATTGGAGAAACCAAACGCCATGTCTCGGACCGCATTCGTGAACACAAAGCAGACCTTAAACACGGTAGGACCAACACCTCGGCCGTGGCAGATCATTGTTATAATTCAGTAGGCTCACATGACATTGACTTTTCCAAGACAGAGGTTCTTTGTAAACCATCTGGCTACCATGAGAGATTCGTTCATGAGGCTATCCACATGTACAAGCACAGAGACAATTTCAACCGAAAAGATGGATTCTGGCTTAACAATCATTGGAAAGATTTGATTAACCATTTCAGGTCTTAATTGATTGTTCACACTTACAGTGGCTTTCAGACAGCATACATTAATTTTTCGTCTCCCCCCTCCTCTTTTCAGAACATAGATGGGACTAGTCCTTCTAAATAAATTGCCAAATCGCTGCGCGTGGCGCTGACGTTTTTTTATAAATAAATAAACCGTTTTAAAATAAATAAATTAATGCGAACCGAAACACCTGATGACGAACGTTTGTGTTATGGTCGAAACGTCGTGATAATTTTTATTGTTTTATATATATTGCATTATTTTATTATTTCCCTTCAACGTGACTTTACCGAAAGAGCTAAGAATATGAATTACTGCAGTCACGAAAGCTTTAAATCAAAATTTAATGAGCTTACCACTTACATTAACTCATGGCACGATGGTGACTATGACGCAGTAGAAGTCACACGTTGATTATTAAGAACAGAAATTTGCTTGGGCAGTGCCAGGTGAGGGAGGGAATGCAGCCGAGACAGCGTCGACAGTGGAAATGGAACAATGATGTCATGGCCAGGCTGCAACCCGGACTGCTACATCGCAGAACCGCGTGAAGTTGCAACTGCTTCGCCAACCCTTCCAGAAGTGGATCGACCGCGGCCGACGATGACGGATGGTATTCACACACGCACGTGTGCGCACCCGTGCGTCCGGTTCCTCGTCAGGTGTCGCGGCTGCTGATCTTGGCGGGCGCGGACGTGGAGAGCGGCACGGAGGCGCTGTCGGGCGCGCCGCTGCTGTGCGTGCACGCTCACCTGGGCCACGGCGACGCTGTCTCCCTGCTGCTGGATGCTGGCGCGTGCCCCGACAGCACGGGCGCCAGCGGCGTGGCGGCGCTCAGCCACGCCGCCGCCGCGGGCCACACAGACGTTGTCGCCAGGCTCTGCCACGGGGATGCCCAGGTGTGCCCCCCTCCGCTCACTCGCGGCGCATTTCCGCGTCGGGGGTGGCATCAATCCTTCGATTAGTGTCGCCGCTTCAAGTCACGAGACCGCTTGGGGACCAAATCACGGGGAATGAGCTCAATCTCGCCAGCTCTCAGAAGCTGAGCGGAGTTGAGCCGAGTTAGTGCCTGGATGGATGAACGCATGCGTACAACGGGTGTTATAGGCTGCCTTCACCAACTTTGCGAGGATTGGTGTGAACTGTGGTCAAATAATCCCCACGGCTCGCACGGCAAATAGGAAGCCTTCATCCAGCAGTCGATTGACAAAAGGGCTGTAAAGCTACGGGCATAATAGTCCCTTATGACATAACATAACAAGTGGCTTGAAAAGAGGTTCACAGTCATGTTTGAAGGCATCGTTAATAATGAGTGTGTTGCAAAAATAAATCCACAAATTTCTGTTTTAAAGTATTCCTATGTCTGTACGGGAACATAAATTCGCACCAACATCTCTACACATGTTACCTGGCAAAGCTCCCGTCCTTTGACACGTGTTGGCGCCGCAGGTGCCGCGCATTGACCGGGAGGGCCGCTGTGCCCTGGTGCACGCCGCACTGCAGGGCCACTTGGCCACCGTGGAATTTGTGGCCACCATGGACTGGAGCCAGCAAGATGAGCCAGATCAGCCGGGTCAGCAGGGTCAGCCAGGTCAGATCAGCAAGAGGCAGGCGGCCCAGCAGGCGCTCACCGCCGCTGCCAGCATGGGCCACGCGGAGGTGAGCAAGTGTTCCCGCTATTGGGGCTAACCGATCGTCCTTGCCCAAGCACGCCCCCACTCCCCACCCACCCCCTCCCCAAACGCACGCTTCTGCAGGATGTACAAATGGAACCCATCTGGCATCCCCTGGTGCTGACGAATGGCTTTCTGAGCTCAAAATACAATTATAAACTCACCCGTTGCTTTTCGAATGCCAGCAACACGCACACGGCAGTTTTTAGGCCCGCCTGATGGCTGGGCAAGCATAGCAGATGGCTCTAAAATTACTTTGTGCGGAATATTTAGGTGCCATGGTGCAATGATTAGTGATCCAGAGGTCACCGGTTTGATTCCTTCTTCCCGTGCGGTATTTGAGACTATATTTCTAAAATCGCCCTACCGCCACCCACCCAGCAGTGTGACCCGTACACCGCAGTCGATCGGCAGGTCATGTGCAGGTGGAGTATAGTGTGGGTACGCCCACCTCTTCATACACGTCTGCTCAACTTGGAAGAGTAGACCAAATACCCTCTGGAGTGGAGGCCCTTCCGCTAGCAGTGGCGTGCGCAAAATATTTCAGTGCTGCACGTTTACATTGTATGTACGCATTAAAAAGGCTGCACATTAGTGTTTAACACTGCCGTATAGCAGAACCCTACTCAGTTTAACACGTAGACTTTCGTGACCAATATTATTCATAATAAACGTTTTTAGGTTAGATCGCGTTATTTATTAACGTGTCTTAACCCTCCACTACCCGACACGGCCAATCATCAAAAAAGTGTCACGTTGACAAAAGACAAATAGTAATAGGTTTTTACCCTTTTATCTGGCACCAAAACTGACACCTTTATACAAGGGATCATGTTTGGTATAACCACAACACAAGCAGTCAAAATGCAAACAAAAAGAGACAACTCTGTCCTTGAAATTAATTGGTCCACAACCTAGACGGCTTTTCTTAGAGTCAAGTCTCCACTGGTGTTTGACCACATGACGCCAAAAGGCATGCCTTGCAAACATGATCCCTTGTATAAAGGTGTCAGTTTTGGTGCCAGATAAAAGGGTAAAAACCTATTACTATATCTTGCTACTGGCAAAGGAGGTCTCATAATGTAAAAGACAAATACTACTTTAGCCCACCGGTGTTAGTGTTATTAAGAGTGAATCCACAACATTTACAGTTTTTGAATACGACGTTTAGCTGGTAATTACATCCAGCATCATCAGGCAATTCGCCATAAGTCTGTAAATGTTGTGGATTCACTCTTCAACACACCGGTGGGCTAAAGTCGTGAACTATTTGTCTTTTGTCAACGTGACACTTTTTTGCTGATTGGCCGTGTCGGGTGGTGGAGGGTTATGACACATTTATAAATAACGCGATCTAACCCAAACACGTTTATTATGAGCACCTTATTCGTAAGGCTGATATTTTGGACAAAGGCCCTTCAGAGCATTGTCTGAAATATCAGCCGAATGTACATATTTCAATCGTTAGGCAGTATTAACAATAAATCGGATTCATTTTTTATTCATGTTTAAGCACCACTGTTGGTGTATTCCCTTATTGCTTTGTTACAGAATATGTATATGTGTATTCACACCCATCTCCCACACTGGATTCATGATTTATGTTGCCTAGGGAACATGTAAACTGCCTTCTTGTGGACGTGTGCACTTATGCACAAAGGCAAAGATCCCCCGTATAGCCTTAACAGATTGTTGGAGCAAGTCCCGTTAGCAAGCACCTATGAAGGTCGGCACGGCACACTAGGGAGTGGGTTCCCAGCACCACGCCCAGCCGCCTTTGTTTGCACATCGTGCCAGGCGCTCATTTGAGGCTGAGTCGACTTACCAGTACCCATTCAGATAATCGTCACTCGTGTTGGCCTTGAGGGAGAAAGAATTCGATGTAACCAGGTTCGGAGCACAGCGCACTAACCGTTGCACGACTGCTCCCCACACTTACGTACACACACACACGCACCTCTTTCTCTCTCGCCATGTTGGGACAAGTGTAGAAGAGTGGAAACCGCACGCATGTTTCATTTCAATGGGTTTTCCCATGACACACGTGCACAGTTGTCGGAAATGCTGCGCCCACTTTATATCCACAGGCAGTAAAAAAAACACACGTGGAACAGCAAGCAAAAACATGAGGCAGGATACTTTTCAAATAATCCACTTACAGAGCATAAACGGAGTGTTTTTCCCTTTCAGAGAGCAGCAGGTGAATAAACGTTCCTTGTGCCCTCCAACCAGGTCGTGGAATACCTACTAAGTCTTCCATCACTGTCAAGCGAGCACGAAGAGGAGGAGGAAGAGGCTGGGGAAGGGAGCCGTGTACAGATCGATGCCTTTGACACCCTGTGGGGAGAAACAGGTGGGATTTTTATTGATCCCAGTCATGGCTCCTCCCAAAGCACCACTGTTCCATGGGACTGACTGTGCTGTTAAGTTCATTCTCGATGTTTTCAAACCCTTGCACTAAGAAGTGTGGCATCTTTTTTTCTCTTTTGCCATCCCCTGTACATAAGCATTTATGTTTTGCGTTTTACTGCAGGGTAATTAAGCGAAATCCAGTTACAAAGTACTGCGAATCGCCGAGTGCATACACGTACATGGGAGCTCATTTGCCCCTGTTGCTGCACTTTTGACGGTCATGTGCTACAACAGAGAGAACAATGAACTTTGTGCAACATCTGAGCCTGGCAAGTTGCCAAACCCACAGACAATCGAAGTGGGACTGCCCAATTAGCGCTTAAGCTACACAGTGAGGGTTGGGGGACTCGTTAGACGAATAGCTTCTGTGATTAGGCCGGTTGCATCCACTGCTTGTACCCCATGATTTATGAGAGACTCAATCTGCACCTACCGCTGGTTTAGGTGTTGGCAGTGGAGCGAGCCATTTCTGTATTGTGAACAAATGGAAATGGTTGCGCTGCCTGACAAAGTCACCTTGAATTTGGAGGGCTTATAATAATCAATATTTTGTGGTGGTGGTGGTGGTGGTACGTGCAAATGCTTGTGAGGAGGCAGAACGTGGGGGCCGACTTGACGGGTACAAATTGCAGGCACTCAGTGGATGGGTGGACTGTAATGGGATTTCATAACTCAGGGCGGTGGCAGGAAGATGGTTGGTGTGCGGGTTCCCTCAGGGGCGGCCTGCAGCATCAGGCAGCTCTGCCTCTCTCCTTTATAGCTTGGGTCTGCGTGACCTCATTTGACGTCCCGTGGCACAGCCACCGCGTGTAACATCGGAATGTAAATGTTGCGTTTTATTGAAGTCGCCACTTCACTTTTGTCCAGATGCATATATCTCTTCTCTCGAAATGCTTGTGCTGAGAAATGTCTACAAAAAATGATTATCGTTTACAATTTTCCATTTCACCCTTTTGCTGCTTGCCTGCTGTATTTTGAACCCTGCCTGCAAGCTCCGAAGAAATATTTAAAGTCTTGTAGATCATTTCGATCCCGTGTCTGCCCTCATTCTGCCAAGCCTTACATATTGTTATCGTGCATGGTAAAGTTTGACTAAGGTTATCCATAAACAACTTTGTGACGCCCGTGGGGAAGTGATGGAGGGCTGCAGTGCATTGCAATGGCGTGTGATGTCGCCCCCCCACTGGGTTACGACCATAGCGCTGACGGCTGCAGCGGGCCGCGGGCGGCTCTCGGTGTGCGAGCTGCTGCTGGAGCGAGGGGCGTTGCTCTCCCAGGCCGGTCGGCGAGGGGTCACGCCGCTCATCAGCGCCGCCCGGCAGGGCCACTGGCAGGTGATGAGTGCCTGTCTCCCCTCTTGCTACCTCCCGCTCCCGGCGTGGGTGGCAGCATGTGCTCAAAGGACACCGAGAAAACTAGTGACTTCATGGCAAGCGCGTGATTCCTGGTGGCAAGCCTAGGCTTACGGTGTCCAGCTTTGTGTGAACAACGTTAATCATTTACCTTCAAGCTCGCATAAATAATGCTCATTAAGGGTAGGTCAAGGTTGGACCTCGCTCACGTGAAGTTTGAAACGATGAATCGATTCTTCAATCAAACTTAATTATGTTCATGATGCAAGGCATAGAATCATGCATGTGAGAAATTGGTTTCATCTTTACGGTACATGTGACCATACAATAGGGTCACTTGACCCCGTGCAAACGAAAGAGACGCAAACTAAATTTACAATATAAAAAGAAAAATAATATATTTGATTTGTGTCGTTATGCTGAACGTTACAGTTCATCAAATTATGAGAGGGGTGAAATTATTTCATGCTAACCAATCATATGTGAAAACGATTAACCCCATGTATGCACTCGAATATGAACGGCACATTTTTTTGTTTGCATTCTGACCACAAGTATTGTGGTTAATGCAGACGTGATTCCTTGTAAAAGGTTTCAGTTTGGTCTATTAACATCTTAACACCCGTTTTGTTGCCAGAAAAAAGGGAAAACCTATTCTCATGAACAGCACATGTTAAGGTAATAGCTGTTTCAACCAAGATAGCGTTCAATCTGTTATCGCAAACTTGTTACTAAATGTCCTCGGTACCCCTTGTTTCCTTCCAAGACTACCCAAAAAGAACTTTGCCCTCACTCCTTGTACTCTGGTTCCGAACTAAGACTTTGGTCCCACTGAGTGTATGCATCGCCGGATTCTGGAGGACTAACGCGCGACACAGAACCTGTCCGCCTGCGCCATGTGCCGCACACGCAGGTGGTGCTGCTCCTCCTGCGGCGCGGGGCAGAACCAGACGCGCCGGAGAGGCGAGGCCGGACGGCGCTCATGGCGGCCGCTTGCGAGGGCCACACCAACACCGTGGACGTGCTCCTGTCCAGGGGTCCGCTGCTCAACGTCGCGTCGCCCCCGTTCGCGCGACACACCGCGCATTGGGCATTCGCCTAGCTCTGATGCCGAATAAGCGTCACGCGGCCGCTTTTCCAAGCAGTGGAGACTGCTGTGTATTTGTTGTCGAGTGACCGAATAAGGATTTTTGCCGACGTGGCACTTGCTTAAACACCTCCACAACTCGCCACCTTACATCACATCTCATCTCAACCTTTGGCAGTTGTCCCTGTGTGGCACAAGGTGAACACTTTACTAGCCTGCAAAATAAGAATTAATGAATAAGTAGGGGGTGATTCTGCTCTGGTTTTCCCAATGAAGCAACTTTAAAGTGCTTTGTCTAATGTATGATACCAGCACACATGACTTACTCTGTTTGCAAAATTACATCACAGCATTTTTAATGTCCACTTTCATTAAGATGTGTAGTATTAACGGTGAACACACCCGTATTATTAACCAGGGTGGACTGCTGGGCTCAAACCGCAAAGCTCTGCGTCAAGTGGCAACCGCGCTCCCACTCGTCCACGTCACTGCCCCACGTTTCAATGACAGTTCTGTGCCCTGTGCAATAAATGCCGATTGTCTTCGACGTTTTATTTTGTGGCAGGTGCAAATGTGTCTGTGGCGGACCACGAGGGGCTCAGTGCCCTGAGCTGGGCCTGCCTGAAGGGCCGCCTGGCCGTGGTGCAGACGCTGCTGGCGCACGGCGCTCCGGTGAACCACGCCGACCGGAGTGGCCGCACACCTCTGGGCCTGGCTGCCTTCCACGGCGACGCCGAAGTGGTCAGCAGGATGCCATTTTGTTTACCAGTTTTAACGTGAATATACACGGAAGCATACTTAACTTCATAATTGAGGAAACGGAACTGAAACCATCGTCCAAAACTACATCGCTGAGGTTGGTTGATCTGGGTTAAATGTTTCCTGAGAACGGCCGTTTCACTCTCTCGGTGATTGGCTGCGAGGATGTTTCTGGCCCATCTTTTTGGAGTGCTTTGTAAATGCAAAATGTATTCCACCAGGTGCAGTTCCTGCTGGAGCATGGAGCCAATATGGAGCATGTGGACGAGAGTGGCATGCGACCGCTGGACCGCGCAATCGGCTGCCGGAACACGGCCGTGGTGCTTGCTCTGCTCAAGAAGGGTGCAAACCTAGGTAGGTGCCTGTGCACATAGGCTTATCATTCATAGCAAATAGTAAACGCATCATACTGACGTTTGGGCCGGCCATAGGTCTCGTTGATGTGCCTTGTGGTCTAAGGTTCACTCAGTGCTGGATTAAGCTAGTGTCGGGCCTGTAGGATATGTTATAAAGGGGCCCTAATTAAAAAAAAAAACACGCAAATATAAAAAACATTTTTTAGTTGCATAGTAAAGTAATTGTATTTTTTCATTTGCTATACAGCCAGATAATACGACAAATCTCTAACTTTAAACACCCAGTCATTCATAAAAGTTGAAGGCAGTATAGTACTAAAGTAATAGAGCAAGTGCAGAATCTCTGAACCGGAATTGATAGCTTGAAAGCGTTTAGTGTGGGGCCCTTGAAAGTGCGGGCCCTGTAGCATATGTAGCTACTTTTGCTCCTAGGATAATCCGGCACTGGGTTCACTCAAATGTACTTTCCAGTGCCCTCATGATGCCATACAGGCTCGGTTACACATCGGACAGTGTGGACTGCAAACGTCATGGCAACCAAAGGTTTGTCCACAAACAATACGGTGGGGGGAGTCGTGAAATGGTGATAGTTCACTGCACTATGAACCACGAGACCTGCGTTCTATTTCTGGGCAGTTGTGATCGAAAGGTGAAACGGTCCTGGACGGCCCTCACTTAACCGACCTACACTGACGAGCGTGCTGAAGACCAATTAAACAAACTCCATGGCTGACGTGGCCTGGGGAGGCCCTCATCCAGCAGTGGATTGACAAAAAGGGTATATGATCTCCAGGTCCTATAACATTTCATTTCCACAGTGCTGTCCACTTCCTATGGAGCCCATAGGTCATTTGAAGTGATCTCAAACGTAGCTCTCTATACTCCACTTCTGTGGGCCATTCTCTGACACAACGGGTTGCACTGCTCTGCGAAAGATCCAAATGGATTCATCTCAAGATGCTCTACATTGATGGCGCAATTCAGATAAAATAGCCTAAATTTCAAAATTGTATTTATTGATTCTCTTTGGCAATGCTTTTGAGAAGAGGGAAGTGACACTGGCATTCAACGTCTCGCTTCCGGCACGTAGGCCCCGCCTCCTGGGCCATGGCGACGTCGAAGCCGGACATCACGGTGCTGCTGCTCAACCGCGTGATCGAGGAGGGGAACGAACTTTACAAGGTGGGGTACAGTCAAGAGGTCTGCCCGCCGACTGGCACGGCAGCGGGCGCTGCGCCACACACTCCAGGCTGCGGCACTCCGCAATCCGCTACAGGTCTTTCATGGCGAAATCGCGCCGGGTTTGTTACATCAACAACTGTTATAATAGAGCCGTTGTTAAATGACGGCTGCGTGCCACACCTATCCTGAACTAATAGACGGCTCCACAATAAAAAGGGAGGGTGGTGGTGCTGGCTGGCCCTGTAAGGGACTGTTCATAACACAAAGATTTTTTTTTCAGCGATGAGGATGTTGTGGACTGAATGTTGTCGGATGGAGATAACGTTGTCAGATGGAGATAAAACAACCACTGTTGCAAGTAAATAAGTTTTGTGAATACCATTAACGTAAGAAAAAAAACACAGCTTTAAAATCAACGAATTAATTGAAACAAAAAACAACGTCGGGATATCAACAGCAGTGCCTACAAATAAGAGAAATCAGCTGGTGGGTGAAGAGGCATTATCTTCTGTACTCGTACTCTTTGGTTATTTCGGCAAAGTCATGTAGGTATAAAAATAATAGATCACGACGTTTCGATCACAACACAAGCAACCGTCATCAGGTGTGAAACAAACACAGCAGGAGGACTGCTGCATTATCTTCTGTTTCATTAGTGCAGCTACTCATACAGTGAGGGAAAAAAAGTATTTGATCCCCTGCTGGTTTTGTACGTTTGCCCACTGACAAAGAAATTATCAGTCTTTAATTTTAATGGTAGGTTTATTTGAACAGTGAGAGACAGAATAACAACAAAAAAATCCAGACAAACGCATGTCAAAAATGTTATGAATTGATTTGCATTTTAATGAGGGAAATAAGTATTTGACCCCTCAGCAAAACATGACTTAGTACTTGGTGGCAAAACCCTTGTTGGCAATCACAGAGGTCAGATGTTTCTTGTGGTTGGCCACCAGGTTTGCACACATCTCAGGAGGGATTTTGTCCCACTCCTCTTTGCAGATCTTCTCCAAGTCATTAAGGTTTCGAGTCTGACGTTTGGCAACTCGAACCTTCAGCTCCCTCCACAGATTTTCTATGGGATTAAGGTCTGGAGACTGGCTAGGCCACTCCAGGACCTTAATGTGCTTCTTCTTGAGCCACTCCTTTGTTGCCTTGGCCGTGTGTTTTGGGTCATTGTCATGCTGGAATACCCATACACGACCCATTTTCAATGCCCTGGCTGAGGGAAGGAGGTTCTCACCCAAGGTTTGACGGTACATGGCCCCGTCCATCGTCCCTTTGATGCGGTGAAGTTGTCCTGTCCCCTTAGCAGAAAAACACCCCCAAAGCATAATGTTTCCACCTCCATGTTTGACGGTGGGGATGGTGTTCTTGGGGTCATAGGCAGCATTCCTCCTCCAAACACGGCGAGTTGAGTTGATGCCATAGAGCTCCATTTTGGTCTCATATGACCACAACACTTTCACCCAGTTGTCCTCTGAATCATTCAGATGTTCATTAGCAAACTTCAGACGGGCATGTATATCTGCTTTCTTGAGCAGGGGGACCTTGCGGGCGCTGCAGGATTTCAGTTCTTCACGGCGTAGTGTGTTACCAATTATTTTCTTGGTGACTATGGTCCCAGCTGCCTTGAGATCATTGACAAGATCCTCCCGTGTAGTTGTGGACTGATACCTCACCGTTCTCATGACCATTGCAACTCCACGAGGTGAGATCTTGCATGGAGCCCCAGGCTGAGGGAGATTAACAGTTCTTGTGTTTCTTCCATTTGCGAATAATCGCACCAACTGTTCTTTGGTTTTTTCGGTAACGTCACGTAGAAATAATAAAATAACATAATAGTGTACGACGTTTCGATTGCAACACAAGCAATCATCATCAGGTACAGAAGAGCTAAATTTACGAGAAAGAGGAGACACATAACCGCAGATATATACAGACAGATACAACGGGATACAGGGAGAGAGAAACGTGGGAGCACACTAAATCAAACAGGTTTTAGCAAGATTTGGAAACCATATAACGCAACAGACGGTCGGTCAAAACACAATTAACGCAAGGTCAGGTTGATTATGTTATTTCAAAGATTGACCTTGCATTAATTGTGTTTTGACCAACCGTCTGTGTTGCGTTATATGGTTTCCAAATCTTGCTGAAACCTGTTTGATTTAGTCTGCTCCCACGTTTCTCTCTCCCTGTATCCCCTGTTGTATCTGTGTCTGTATATATATCTGCGGTTATGTGTCTCCTCTCTCTCGTAAATTTAGCTCTTCTGTACCTGATGATGATTGCTTGTGTTGCAATCGAAACGTCGTACACTATTATGTTATTTTATTATTTCTACGGGACTTTACCGAAAAAAACAAAGAATAATTCCTGCAGTCACGAAAGCTCCAAATTCAAGTATCGCACCAACTGTTGTCACTTTCTCACCAAGCTGCTTGGCAATGGTCTTGTAGCCCATTCCAGCCTTGTGTAGGTCTACAATCTTGTCCCTGACATCCTTGGAGAGCTCTTTGGTCTTGGCCATGGTGAAGAGTTTGAAATCTGATTGATTGATTGCTTCTGTGGACAGGTGTCTTTTATACAGGTAACAAGCTGAGATTACGAGCACTCCCTTTGAGAGTGTGCTCCTAATCTCAGCTCTTTACCTGTATAAAAGACACCTGGGAGCCAGAAATATTTCTGATTGAGAGGGGGTCAAATACTTATTTCCCTCATTAAAATGCAAATCAATTTATAACATTTTTGACATGCATTTTTCTGGATTTTTGTTGTTGTTATTCTGTCTCTCACTGTTCAAATAAACCTACCATTAAAATCATAGACTGATCATTTCTTTGTAAGTGAGCAAACGTACAAAATCAGCAGGGGATCAAATACTTTTTTCCCTCACTGTACCTCTGCCAAAACTAACAAACCGTGAATAACTTTAATCCTTCTCTTTGTTACTTAATGTTATTCTAGACATGACTTGTATTGTTCATGTTGTTTGTGAATGGTGGCACAGTATAGCAATGGGTACTGCAGGAAGACTGCTCAGAATGGGATAACCACATGGATCCAGGAGGGCAACCGGTTTGTGTTATAAATTAAAACGATTCCTGAGTCCACTTCACAGGGTGGTCTTCACTTCTGGACTTTAGCAGTCTCGGTATCAATCCCAGGCATCTGAGCTTTCCCGGATTCTCTCCTTACACTCAGGCTTCCTGGGAGGCTACGGTTAATAGAGAAGTTCTCACTGCAATGGCTCACATCTAACCGGTGTGGAGGAAGTCCTTGTCGAGTCCTTCCGCCCGAGTTAGAAACTAGCCCTGGCACGCCACCGTAGTTCGTGTCTCTGGTAGCGTAGTATAACATTTGTTTGGTTGCTGGTCATCCCTCAACTTTATACTAACACACAAGACACAACCGCATCGTGAAACCCACCTTTCCTCCACGCTGTGGTTGCAACGCCGAGCGCTCTGTCATGCCGTGTTGGTGCCGGGGTGCTATGTCGATGTTTCGCTTGGGATTTCCCTGCAAACCGGGCCATGGATGTGAGCTATCATGAAATCAAAATATCGTCCCCACATTACGCTCTCGTCTTGTTTCATTCGTTTCAAAATGGAGGGGATGAAAGAGCTCTCGCAGCCTTCACAGCTGCCTTTGTCGTCAAGATGTCGTTATCAAATGTTTTATCGCTGTCCTGTCTACCGGTGTCCGACGTGCTCTCATATTTTAGCTCGTGTAAAATATAATGACAAAGTTCAGTTAGACGAGCACCCCAAGATATGCCCCGAGGATGTAAGGGGCTAATTTGTGGACCTTTCTCTTTTGTGCATGCGAGCAGTCGGGGCGGATGAAGGAGGCAGCTCAGCGCTACCATTTGGCGCTGAAGAGGTTTCCCCGAGAGAGCTTTGGGGAGGAGCTGGGCACCTTTCAGGACCTGCGCGTCACCCTCTACCTCAACCTGTCTCGCTGTCGCCGCAAGCTCAATGTGAGGCCCCATCTCGTCACACCCTGCCCCGCTCGCGCTCGCCCTCTCGGCCACCGTGCGCAGAGCCACCATTCCCACCGTCCTTCTTCCTCTACTGTCACGCCTCCTAACGAACCTCATCTTGCCTGACTACAAGTTGCCATCTGCTGTGATATAAATTCTTATAATGCACATTTTTTTTTTTCCCCGCTGACCTGGCAGAGACCTGCCTGCTGAGCCAGACAAGCAACCACTGAGCCACGCGGCAGGACTGCTCACGTAATTTGTCCCATAATGAAAGAGCGATCTCTCAGAATTACTGCAGCTTAGCAGGCATAAGTGCAGGTGTCTCCAGAGAGGTGCAAATTGTTTTCAGGCGTGGTTTCCGCACCCGAGCTGTGCGGCCGGCGAGTTTGGGGGGGGGAGTGGCAGCATGTGGTGAACACCGACGACGCTGTGCAACCCCGTGTGATGCTGCCAGGATTATGGGCTGGCGGAGGAGTTTGCTACCAAGGCCCTGGAGCTGAAGCCAAGGTCGCACGAAGCGCTGTACGCCCGGGCACGTGCCAAGCGCAGCAGCAGGTGAGGTGCCATTTATTGCGGGAATACGGTCATGGCACATGCAGAAAGCATTCCTGATTTCCACGCAGATATTTTTAATGCCGAGACAAATTTGCACTGCGTTTTTTAGAAACACCATAAGTGAGTTTACAGATTCATAAAAAAAAGTCACGAGCCACGTTCACGATCGTTTATTTAGCGCGGGTACAAATGAGCCTGCTTTTTTACACATGAGTACGTGACCAATATTAATAACCAGGTGATAGTCCAATAGTACAAAAATCTGATTTGCAAAAGGTACATCGTGATCACATCTCGTCCACAAATATTAAAATAACAAAGGGTGTTCCGAAACGTTCTATGCTGGATCCAATTCTCTCCTTATATTTAAACAATCTTGGACTAAACTTAAATCACTCAGAATGACATCTCTTTGCTGATGACACTATAATGCTGGTATCAGGTAAATCTCTAAACGAAGTCAAACAGAATCTCTAACATGATTTGGACTTTATTCATGATCAATTGTCATCACTAAAATTTCCTCCAAATACCCCAAAAAACTGAGATCATGCTTGTTTCTTTAAACAAAAATCCAGTTTAATTCCCGTCACATATTACGGATATCAGACACAACATCATTCAACAAATGGAGTGCTTCAAATACTTGGGTTTATCGATTGATTCAAAACTTGCATTCCACCCCCATATTGATCACATCTCAAAGAAAATCAAATAAAAAATACATATTTTTACATACACAAATTCAACATTGTTTTCCCATTTGTTTTCAGCTACAAATTGTTAAAGCTAACATCCTCCCACTTTTTGACTACTGTGACACTGCTTACAGATCAGCTACTAACGACACACTAAACCCGCTTTATCATTCTGCTCTTCAATTTGCACTGAATGTACCATACAGGACCCACCATTCAGACCTCGACTTAAAATCCAGTCTCACATCACTTGATGCATGAATACATCTACATTGGACCCTGTTCATCCATAAAATCCTGATTGGCAAATCTGTACTATACTTAGCTAATTCATTAACTCCATTGTCAAACCCAAGAAATCTAAAACGTCCTTCTAATTGCCTTTTAACTATCCCGAGAATAAGAATTGGAATAAGCCTTTGACGTTGCAGTACCAATTTTTGGAACAACCTTGTTTGCCTCCCTTAACGTAGTAAATCTGCCTTCAAAAAATATCCTGAAGCAGAATATTAACGCTGGATATAACCACATTTTCAAATGTGATTTGTAACCTTTTGATCCTTGCCCATGTATCAAGAGTTCAATTGTAATGTGCAATTTTGTTGAGGGAATGTGTGTTGTCTTGGTGTGGTCTGGGACTGTTTTTGCTGCCTTGCTTAAGCTTGCATTTAGTGTTGAAAAATCTGCAAGAATGTGTGCACTTGGATACTTTATTTAAATTGAATGACTTGTTTACTCTCTCTATTTTGCACTCCTATCGCGTTTTTGTATTGTCTGTTGTTGTAACTTGCTGGGGATCTTCAGAGCTCATCAGATTCCTGCTCAAATGAGCACTGAGGCAGTGCTCATATCCTGTTTTCCACCCAAAGCTAGTGGTGTAAATTCTCTTTTCCTATGGCAGGGGTGAGTCTATCCATAGGAGAACCACAGTTAACTTCTCCATAAAGTGGTCTATATTTTATCCACCTCACAGGGATGATGGGCTGAGTCAACCCCCAACCTGGATTTAAACTCACAACCGTCCAGTTGCGAGCCGCTCGTTCTACCGCTGAGCCACCTGATCGGGTTGCTCAGGATATACAACATGAAAATGTTTCTTCGGTGCAGTGAATAAATAACACATTTTTAAAAAATTCCACAACGTGGAAATCGTGTTTCTTTGCCACATATAAGTCACATGTATGAGAACGATCATAGCAATGTCTCGCAGCCGTATTACAATGCTGCCCTGCTTAAATCCTTGTCCGGTAACTGAAGAAACCACCATATTTATTTAGAAAGGAAACATGTGCCGTGTACAAACACTGTTAGGCTGCCAGTGAAAAATGTACCGAAGCCTTGTGCGGTATGTCAGGCAAAGTAAGGGTCACAGCAGTCCAGCAGAGCATGCAGATCCTTCTTGCCCCATATGTGCACATGTTTTTACAGACGTGATGAATATGCCTGTTACCCCCCACCATCCCTGGTAGCGCATCTATTAGATTGTGTGTGTCTGTGTGGTTTTGTAAGAATGTGCCTGTGTGTGTCTGTGAGAACATGTGGGGAGCGTGAGTGTTGCGGTTAGCATGCTGTGCTATCAACCCAGTGACCCGAGTTGGATTCCCACTCGTGGCCAACACCAGTGACGATTTATCTTAACTGGTCCTGGACCTCATCACTAGGTCGACTAAGCTTCAAATGAGTACCTGGTGCAGTGTGTAATAAACATCGCCACCAGGGAGACAAAGGCAGCTGGGCGTGGTGCTGACCACCCACACCCCCTTGTGTGTTGTACGAGCCTTCATAGATGCTTACGAACACCGCTTGCCACAACAGTCTATAAAGGCTGTTGTGTGTGCCTGTAGGGAGCATTATTGTTGTGGTTAGCGTGCGGCGCTATCAACCTGATGACCCAAGTTCGATTCCCACTTGTGGCCAACACCATTGACGATTATCTGAACCGGTCCTGGGCCTCACCTAGGTGAACTCAAGTTTAAATGAGTATCTGCTGCAGTGTGTAAACATCACCACTTAGGAACCAAAGGCAGCTGAGCGTGGTGTTGGCCACACCACCGCTCTCATGCACCGTGCCGGCCTTCATAGGCGCTCACTGACAGAACTTACCCCAACAGCCTGTGTAGGCTCCATGGGGATCCTTGTATTTGTCTGTGTGTGTGTCTGTGTCTGCATTTGCGAGCTCAGGCAGTTCCTCGCGGCGCTCGAGGACCTGCAGCACGCGGCGAGACTTTACCCCGAGAACCGCGAGGTGGCGCGCCTCCTGGCACGCGTCATGGACGAATGCCGGCAGCAGCAGCAGCACATCGCTCACCAGGAGGAGCCGGCGGAGGAGGAAGAGGAGCCGGAGGAGCAAGAAGCAGAAGACGATCAAGTGGCTGCCATGCCAAACGAAGAGGTCTGCTACCCGGGACCCCCCAGCGCAGAGCAGCGCTATGGCGAGCGACAGGGAAGGGGGGACGGCAGTTACCCGGAGCCCATGTTGCAAAGGGCCGTGTCCATCGCATACGGAGAGTTTGACTGTGAAAACGCTTCTCCCCCGACCACGCGCATTCTGCAGCGCTGCCGGTCGTTTGTGCTGCCGGACGAAGACACGCAATGGCACGGAGGTCTGCAGCAGGACATGAGGGCCAAGTGCCAAATAGGAACTGACGTGTGTGGACAGGCGGAGATCAGGCGCGGGCTGCAGACCCTCATGATGCCCCGCTCTCGACACGACTCTGGCCGCGGGGACCAAATGCTGATGTCGTCGCCAGCCCCCATGCAGTGGCTTGGGAACAGAGACAATGGGTATTCTGACATGGACATGCAGTACGAAGCGCCGGTCCCCGCCCTGCACAGGGCCGCGAGCTACCAGAGCTGCAACGTGCCCATCTGTCAGCAGAAGGTGGACCTCGCCGGCAACAGGCCCTTGCAGTCCGTAAGGTCCTGTGGAGAGTGCATCGCTGACCAATACATGGAGATGAATGTGCCACCTTCTGCTATGTTTGGCTGCAGCGATGTTCAACAGTGCATGAGCGGTGGGGCTTATGATGTACCTGACCATCAACAGAGCAGCAGTAAATCTAGATTGTGCGGTGACCTTGGAAGCAACGCATACAGCTGCCCCGTTGGCATGGGCCCTTCCGAGTTGCGACGCCTCAACACCACCCTGTGCCCTTCGTCCCTTTTGTCTGTGAATGCCGGCTTGCGCGCCTCCACGCCCTGCCTTGCCGAAGGAGGCGGCCGCTCCTACAGCTGCAACCAGCGAGATGAGTTTCGCACCTGCACCATGCTGGGCCCCCGATCGTCCAGGACAGAGGAGCGCCTCTCCATGGAATCCCCTCCGTACGGCCAGTGTGACAGCAAGGGCTATTCCAGGCCCTTCATGGGCATAGCGGACAAGAGGGTGAGGACGCAGCCGTCCATTCAGCAGCCGGTCCCCTTGTCCCAGTGCCCGCCGATGCCAACTCGTCAGCAGAGCAGGGGCTGGCTCACCTCGTCCGTGGACCTCATCGTGTCAAACCCAGCGCCCTGCACCAGTAACGATTATTACAACAACGACGACCATGGCCTGTCGTCCTCGGCAGGAATGTGGCAATCGGAGAGCGTCGCTCAGTGCGGTCGCCCGAACGGAGGGGCCTTCAGCTGGCAGGCGAGCGAGCCCGACCCGTACGCGCCGCACCTCCAGAGCAGCGGCGGCGGCGGCGGCGGCGTCGTCATACCGGGCAGACGGTTCGCGCGGGAGAGCTCGACGTGTTACGAAGACGCTTGCGGGATTTACGGCTACCAGGAGAGCGTGGGTGCAGTTGTGGAGCGGGTGGTGAGGCAACCGAGGCCGCCCTGCCGCTCCCCTCTCTTGCCAAAGCGTCCTTTTGTCGAATCCAATGTTTGAAGAAGTCCCCGGGACATTTTTTTCCCTCCCATTATTTTTTTGAACTTGGTATTGAAGCAGAGTTTGACTTTAAAAGTTTACATTTACTTCCATGCCCATCAGTATCGACTTGCGTTTACCTTAATGACCTGTTTTAAAGAATAAATCGTGTATTGTTATTTAAGACAATGGAGAATGCAACTTAAGTCAGCCATATTTGTAATATTGTAATATTTGTTGTTTCGGAGTGCGGGGATGGGTGGCGGCGGTGAGACGGAGTCGGGAACTTTATTTCTGCAGTTGAACCACTGTCAACTTAAAAGGAGTTTCATTACAATTAATGTTCATTCTTAAAAAATATAAATTTATGCTTTTGTGATGCCAATGTAAAAGCATTGCTTTGTGAATTATAGAATTAGTTTTATGGACGATATCCCTCGATTGTAAAATAATGGGTGAGCTTGTTGGAGCCACATGCCGTAAGTGCTGGTGATGGGCTTTTTCCCTCTTGTTGCTGTTGTCTGCTTGTGAAAGCTGCACACTGTACTTTCAGTCTCTTGCAATGATTGTAAAAAATGTGGAAATATTAAACTCCATTTTGGTTGCAGCCATGATATGTGTAAGGGCATCTGCCAGCCATCTTAGGAGATGCTTGCGGTGTGGAGCTGTTGTGGAGTTAGTATTGAGCTGGTGTGGAGCTGGTGTGGAGCTACTGTAGAGCTGGTGTGCAACTACTGTGGAGGTGGTGTGGAGTTAGTTTGGAGCTGGTGTGGAGCTGGTGTGGAGCTCCTGTGAAGTTAGTTTGGAGCTGGTGTGGAGCTACGGTGGAGTTAGTTTGGAGCTGGTGTGGAGCTGCTGTGGAGCTAGTTTGGAGCTGTTGTGGAGTTAGTTTGGAGCTGGTGTGGAGCTGGTGTGGAGCTGGTGTGAAATTCGTGGGGCTGGTGTGGAGCTGCTGTGGAGTTAGTTTGGAGCTGCTGTGGAGTTAGTTTGGAGCTGGTGTGGAGCTACTGTGGAGCTGGTGTGGAGCTGGTGTGGAACTCGTGGGGCTGGTGTGGAGCTGGGGTGGAGCTACTGTGGAGAGCTGGTGTATGTATGTTGAACATCGTTCGCGCACCGTACGTAGCCAACCGTGCTAATTGGAGGTGCCGCGGAAGGACAGCAGTGGCCCAATCGGCTCATGCTCTTCAATGATATTTATTACTTTTTATTTTTACGTTCCAAAAATAAACACAAGAGCACATTCATTATTGTGCGGTTTATCGTGATTGCAGTTGGTAAATGTTTGCTACAAGTTGAATCCGCCACAAAAATCTGACAGACGTATCAACAAACTTTAAACTGGCTTACATATTGCACAAATCACACCCACGTTAGGCAATATCAACGGCCCGTAGCGGTGACGGCGGCAGCAGCAGCAGCCTGCTTTACAAGCCCGGCCACCCAAGGTTGTGCGCTCGTATCAGGCAGGTAGGTGTCCGCAAGTTGCTTTGGACTTCGAGCAGAGTTGGGGGGGGGTGGATATATGGCTCTTCCCCGCACACCTTTATCCAGCTACCGGATGTCCGTGGGAACCCACGCACCCTGCTCGTCCTGCAGACGCCCCCCCCCCTCTCTCCTGCTCCCCAGAAACCTGCCCCTCCCCGGACCTTCTCCAGACGCAGCTTCCCGTAACGTGCTCCTTTCAGGTCCCTGGCTAGGCTGTGTGTTTTGTTTCGGAGGCGTTGAGGACAGGCGAAGCGGCGGATAAGAGCTGTGTGGAGGAATCCAGCCAGGTGAGAATCACAACCGTCATCTTACTGCAGGGACCCTAACACCAACAGCAGCCATACGGGGGCACAACTCGTACCTCGGGCACAACTCGTACCTCGGGCACAACTCGTACCTCGGGCACAACTCGTACCTCGGGCACAACTCGTACCTCGGGCACAACTCGTACCTCGGGCACAACTCGTACCTCGGGCACAACTCGTACCTCGGGCACAACTCACTCGTACCTCGGGCACAACTCACTCGTACCTCGGGCACAACACACGGCGACATGAACTGCAAATGATGTTTATGAGGACGATACATTGCGCGTGGAATAACAGTTGGGTTTTCATCGTGGGCCCCATGCGCATGGTTTTGAGCGGTATTAAAATCGCCGAAAGTTGCGTTGTGTCTGGGTTTGCGCTGACACTTTGAGCTTGTGTGTTTAGCAGCGAGCGGAATACCTGTGTACATTTATTCCAAAGGCCACACGTTCACTAAGCCGAAGTCTTCATCGTGTAGGAGACCTGCTGTTTTAACGTACGCGGAACGACGCGTCGGCTCGTGACACGCGTGATTGAGGTTTTTTTTTTTGGGGGGGGGGGACGCGTGTCATTCTCGGCCGTGAATAAGTTGGCAAAAAAATTTGTTTTATGTGTTTGATCGTGTCAATGGTATATCAGTAACTCGCGATGAACGATCACGATCCTCTCCCGATAACGACGAGCAAGCCCGTGCAGACTCGGGAGGCAGAAATCGAGCGCACCGTTTCAGCGACGACCATCGCAATCCTCCATTTCACTTCCGTGGGGACACTGCGCACCGAGACCGCCTCAATGAAGAAGAAGAAGATGCGAATACTCGGAACCGATGGGGAGGCGCTCCGAGCCCCTCATAGTTTTTGAACTCGGGCAATTCCTCACCCCTCCCCCCGCCACTCCTGAATCAAACAATCCATGTATTGTCGTCTGAAGAACTTCCCTCGGCTCCCGTGTGCCTCGTGATCCCAGTGATGAGCGCCAGAGGTGATGCAGAGGAGGAGGAGTCGCCTCCTGGTGGTTGCTGCGCCCTGCGCCGTGAGATTCACGTGGGGGAAGGTGATCTCGATAACGGCGTTTCGGCACTGATAACTGGGAACTCAATGGCTGGAGAAGCCAAGTCGTTGAGCTGGTCGAGCTGGGGAAGGGTGTGCTGCTGCATAGCCGAGCAGGCTTCGTGCCGGGTGCCGAGTTGATTCGAGGAAGCATGGCTGAGCGGGAGCTGGCTACGGAGCTGGGTTGTCTAGGGGGTGGAATGGTGCTTGGGAACCGAGCTGTACGAGAGCTGAGAAGCCGATAGACGCCGCTGAGCCAGGGAACTGGATGATGTGGAGCTGTGAGGCCGCATTGTTACGACGCGTGGGCTCTTGACCAGACGAACCCCAATCACGCGCTCCGCCGCGCCAACACGGGCGAGCAGCGCCTCCGAGACGCGCCAGCGAGCCTGAGTGGAATGCGGCCGTCGAGCAGGAGCGTCCTCCGTAAGTACTCTTTGATGTAGCAGCTGCGTCGTGAATGTACATCGCTGTGTCTCCTCGTCCTGCGCCTGTGTACGCGAGTGAGATCGTCGTCGTGTCTCAGCGCGCGTGTTGCTCGGCTTCGGTGAAATGGCACAACCGCGTCACTCTGCTTTCGCCAAGAGGAAATTGGCGTTTCGGATGAGCTGTGCCGATTAAGACGCGCACACGCTTGCAAGTGACGTGCCCATTGTTTTGTGTGTACAGCCCCCTTAGTCGATCCACTGCTGGATGGCGGCCTCCCCCCGATCCCCCCCAAGCCGCGCGTGTTTATTCGAGCGCGCTTATCCAACACGCCGGCCAGTGCGGGTTGAAAGAGGAAGGGTAGAAGTGCAGTACAACAATTGATGTTGCTGCACTGTCCGAAACTTGCCACCAGATAGCTCCGGAGTCCGATGACAACCTGTCCGTGCATGGTGGTCGTCTACCCAAGCACTTTCCAGTCTCGAACCCCCGCTTAGCTTTCACATTTTCGACCGCGGATTTGTCCGTGTAGGCGTTTTGAAACAAGACACGTGGTGGGATCTACGTTGACCGAGCTAATGTAGGCATCGTCCGTGGGAGCGCGTGGAAGAGACGTGCAGTACCCCTGTGCACTAGGGCAATCATCCTCGTAGGGCAGTCATCCTCGTGTTACCACGCGCGTGCACGTGCGCCGGCTCTTGTGCCCCGGGCTGCGTGGAGCGATGAGCGGTGGACGCAGACACCACCACTACCACCTACCCCTGGCACCACCACCACCACCTACCCCTGGCACCACCACTACCACCACCTACCCCTGGCACCACCACCACTACCACCTACCCCTAGCACCACCACTACCACCACCTACCTCTGGCACCACTACCACCTACCCCTGGCACCACTACCACTACCACCTACCCCTGGCACCATTACCACCACCACCTACCCCTGGCACCACCACTACCACCTACCCCTGGCACCACTACCACCTACTCCTGGCACCACCATTACTACCACCACTACCACCTACCCCTGGCACCACTACCACCACCACCACCTACCCCTGGCACCACCACTACCACCTACCCCTGGCACCACCACTACCACCTACCCCTGGCACCACCACTACCACCTACCCCTGGCACCACTACCACCACCACCTACCCCTGGCACCACCACCACCACCACCTACCCTTGGAACCACCACCACCTACCCCTGGCACCACCACCACTACCACCTACTCCTGGCACCACCACTACTACCACCACTACCACCTACCCCTGGCACCGCTACCACCACCACCACCACCACCTACCCCTGGTACCACCACTACCACCACCACTACCACCTACCCCTGGCACTACCACTACCACCACTACCACCTACCCCTGGCACCACCACTACCACCTACCCCTGGCACCACCACTATCACCACCACTACCACCTACCCCTGGCACCACCACTACCACCTACCCCTGGCACCACCACCACTACCACCACCACTACCACCTACCCCTGGCACCACCACCACCTACCCTTGGCACCACCACCACCACCTACCCCTGGCACCACTACCACCACCACCTACCCCTGGCACCACCACTACCACCACCACCACTACCACCTACCCCTGGCACCACTACCACCACCACCTACCCCTGGCACCACCACTACCACCTACCCCTGTCACCACCACTACCACCTATCCCTGGCACCACTACCACCTACCCCTGGCACCACCACTACCACCTACCCCTGGCACCACCACTACCACCACCACCACTACCACCTACCCCTGGCACCACCACTACCACCTACCCCTGGCACCACCACTACCACCACCACTACCACCTACCCCTGGCACCACCACCACTACCACCACTACTACCACCTACCCCTGGCACCACCACTACCACCACTACCACCTACCCCTGGCACCACAGGTACCGGCAGTCGCACTCGGGCCTCGCCGCGCTCACAGCCCACATTCGGGCCCGGCGGGCTCGACGTCGTCGTCACCACTCTTCATTCGCTACCTCATCCCCCCGCTCGTCATCAGCTGATCACCATCATCAGTGGCGCGCGTCGTCGTTACGCGCAATCTCATCAAATGTGAGTGTCATCACAAAACCACCTCGTCACTCATCGCCTGCTTGTCCCTTGTCACCTCATTACAACTCGGACACTAATCATCACTGTCTCATCGACGTTCAACACGTACCGCCAGAAATACATCACGCCGTTACCTGGCAAACAGCACTCACCGCCGCGTCGATGATTTGCCTGTCACGTTGTTGTGACGCCTTTGTCTTCCCGTGTCTCGACGCTTCTCCCTGTCGCCCCGTGCGTCTCGACGACCCCCCACCCCCCCCAGATCTAGAGAAGTTACAACCTTGGGTGCTCCCGAACTAAAAATACTGTGACCGCTCGTGACCCTGTCGCCCACACTGCTTGGAGACAGTGCGCGTGTGTGTGCTCCTCTACACACGGGTACACTCTACACTACACTATACTCTACACCAGGGGCCACCTAACTACGGCCCGCGGGCCGCATGCGGCCCGCGACGTCAGTCCATCAGGCCCGCCGACGGTACTTGAATTTGGTTGATAAAACGTATAGAACACGAGACGTTGTGATACAATTTAAATATTATGTTTAGAATACCAGGAGATCTTCACGCGTGCGGAGACCTCCTGACTGCTATGTGCCTTAAATTTACTATTTTAAATGATTGTATCTAGAGTTTCTTGTTTATTGTAATGTTTGCTTATTTCGCGCCATCCCAAGTCCTTCCCCGGCTCGTGGTAGCTCCGCCTACGCTCTGACGTTACCATGGTTTCAACGGCAACGTCATGGCAACACGTTACCATGGTTTCCATGGCAACGTCATGGCAACACGTTACCATGGTTTCCATGGCAACACACAAACACGCATCTTTCCCGCCCCAAGATTTTCCGGCTGTCAACACAGGTCCGACGCTCCAGAAATATATACTTACACGGGTACACTACACACTACACACAGGTGCACTATACACTACACACGGGTACACTACACACGGGTACACTATACACTACACACGGGTACACTATACACTACACACGGGTACACTATACACTACACACGGGTACACTATACACTACACACAGGTACACTATACACTACACACGGGTACACTATACACTACACACGGGTACACTATACACTACACACGGGTACACTACACACGGGTACACTATACACTACACACGGGTACACTACATACTACACACGGGTACACTACACACGGGTACACTATACACTACACACGGGTACACTATACACTACACACGGGTACACTATACACTACACACGGGTACACTATACACGGGTACTCTATACATTACACACAGGCACAATATCAAAGACACAGGTACACTATAAACAACACACGGCCACACTACACTATTCTCACGGGTACAGGGACGTCTCGCTTAACGAGCGAGATCCCTTCCGCGAACATTTCTCAGGAAGCAAAAGATCGTTAAACAATCATCGTTTTCCCACTGACCTCCATGTTAAAAGCTACGTTTCAAACCCGAAATGTTCCACACTTTACTAACATTTTAAACGTGAAAAATACAAATATTTATTAAATAAAGTAATACATCATCAAGTGTAACGCTTACCACACATGAAGAACCACAGTGCAAGATCCCCCGTATAGCCTGAACAGACTGTTGGGGCGATTGCTGTTCGCGAGCACCTATGAAGGCCGGCACGGCACACGAGGGGGAGGGTGGCCAGCACCAAGCCCAGCCGCCTTTTTGTCCTGAGTGGCGATGTTTACACACCGCACCAGGTACTCATTTGAGGTTGAGTCCACCTAGGGGAGGCCCAGGACCGGTTCAAATAATCATCACTGGTGTTGGCCGTGAGCGGGAATCGAACTCGGGTCGCTGGGTTCGCAGCGCCGCACGCTAACTGCTACCGTCGCTCGCCTTCCACCACCCACCCATTCATAATCTTAATTTACATTTACCAAGTGCAATTCATCCAAGGATTTCAGTGCAACATGCACGAAGCTAGGAAACATGAAAGTTTAGTCCTTGGGCCAGACCAGATATCGGCACCACCCAAGGTGGCAAAATTTCAATGGTGCCCTTTTATTTGTGACGCCAACAGAAGTAAAATAATACGTGATAACCTTTCCAAATGGGCAGCTGTTTAATTTTTCTCGCAGGAAACCTGTTTTTGCACCGATCGCAATCACGCCTATTTGCCTGAACGTTACAAATAAAACATTCCAACACCTCTGCTGTTAATTAAGACAAATAATTTATTAAATGGATGTTTGTCCCCAAGGCATGTATTTCATAAATGTTCTTGCATTTATTCACGTTTATATTTCAGTGACTTAGTTAAGTCTGGAATAGATTGGCACTGTCTGTTTTCCTTCTGTTTCTGGCAGCTTGTTTGCTCATTGTCATTTCCTGGCAGGTGAGGCAAGTACTGGTGGTTCTGTATTATTTCTGTTCAGTAAAGACGTAAATTGCTAACTTTACCTTCAATGTATTGTTAATGTACCTGTTAAGATTATTAGTTAAGGCTAGGGACTACAGGCAAAAATAATGATTTTTGTTCAGTTTGTCAATTTTTATATATTTTTTACATTTTGCTTCTATAAATTGTAAACTTTCATAACATGCACACAATTATTACCAATAACTTTGTTATCCTATTTGGACATGGTTGAAATATTGTTGGGACTCATCCGAGCATCCAGAGAGGGAGACTGGATGCTGCACTTGGCAAGCATTCGAGCAATGATCCCATGGTGCTTCGCTTATGATAGGATGAATTATGCACGCAACCTCCCCTACTACTACACCCAGATGTCTCAGCTGCCCATCACACACCCAGATGTGTACACGGAATTAATGGAAGGAGGCTTCTCAGTTCACCAATCCCTTTGGCCGAATCCCTGTTGACCAAGTTATAGAAGAAACGGTGAACAA